GTGTGTTTTTTTTTTTTTTTTTTTTTTTTTTTTTAAACTATGGCTAGGGTCCTCAAAAGCTGGAAGTGGCCTGGGCCCCTCTGGACCTCAGAGAGGGCCTGCCCAGGGTCATATAAAGTTGGCCCAGGAATGGAATTACAACCACAAAACAAAGGACACATCTACATGGGGACTTTTGGTGAGAAGCCATGAGAGGAGTTAGTGAAACTAGGATACAAAAAGAAACCCTAAAGATTAAAAGAAAGCAATGCAGCTTTGTTTTTGTAATGGTTGGCTGCAAATTAAAAAAAAAGTCCAACTCCTTAACTTCTCTTCTTCTTTTTCCTCCTCTTCACACTGCCATCATGGCTGTTTACCTTCAGTACTGCTGAAAGCAAGGCTTCAAAGAATCTAACCTCCTGTGACCTCACTCTTCAATTTCTGCAGTCTGGAGATGTCCCTTCTTCAAATGATGAGACTTTTGCAGTGAACGTGAGCAGTGCTAGTGACACAGGAGGTTTGTGCAGAGAATAACATACAAATAATGTGATTTATTCTCCCGTAGGTCTGCGCATCTACCTACCAAAGGGAGGGAGCTCCAGACTGAAGGGAAAAAAATTGTCTGTTGCTATGTTAGCCAGGACTACTCCTTTCAGATCAGTGTTTAGACTCACCGTACTGTTATGGTCAACAAATATGCAATATGTAATTAGAGGTGAGCCAAACTACTATAGCAAAATTAGAATAGGATATTATACATGTTGATCTTTCTGTAGGACAAGAATTAGGCACTCTCGGGCTAAACGAATTCAGACATATTGTGCTTACACGTCTATTGAAGTGTGATTTATCTACACGTTCTTGTTAGGACATGTCATAAGTTACACCCTGATGTTCCAACATCTTTTTTACTACAAATTGCTCTATGCTTAAACATTGAATTAAAAGAATTCCAGCACCAATGGGCATTATAGTTATGTGTCAGCTTAGAAAGAAACTCTATATCTCTAAATAAATGCAACTCCATTCAACAGAGGAGCCAACTTGTTCACATTTTCTTCAAGTCAAAAAGAATATCATATAAAAAAAAACAACAACCAGGAGGCCCCTGGTTTTCCTACCTGAAGATAATTTTAAAATAAGCACCGCAGTGGCAGCTTGCATTAGAGCTGATGGGCAAACTCACTGTTAGTCACTTTTTGTTTATCTTTTGCAATTAACAGTATTATCTGGTACTTGAACATTTGGAAGCATCATTTTACCTTGTTGTTCAACATACAGAATGCTCATGAAAGTCAATGGTAGTGGTATGCAAAGACTGAGGGTAGGATTATACCCTTAGTAAGTGAGAACACCTGGACAGCAACAGTAAATATTTAAATGTGCAATAATGTATCAGGAGCTAAAGATGGTAAGTAATGAATATTATACTGAACATTTAATGTTAGCACTTTTACTGCTTAATTTATAGTAGTCAAAATGAACGTATTCTGTGCTTATTGAAACATTATTGCATATTAAAATATTTACTGTTAGTTCCCAAAGATGAAAACCCCAGAATATGTGGCTGCCAAGCCTGCTAAAGCATGTTCTCATCTGCTTTTCAAAACATGTGTCACGGGCTGGTTCCTTTATATAACAGCAACTCAGAACACTTCTTGAAATGTATCTGCCTGCAAGGAAGAAGAAAAAGCAATTCCAAGATGCATGTGCTCCTGTTTCTTTGAAATTCATAGCACACACCCAAGACTTGTTTCTTTCATTTATTGACAAGTTTCAGACATACCTATTTTTAGTGTATTTGTGGTTGTTTAGTAATTAGTGTCTATTTTCTCTGGACAGAGAGGTGATCAACATCTGACTAAGCTTATTTTCGTACTTTTCATAGATATAAGTGTCACACAGTGATTTAACATGTTACCTGTGGGTTTCATGTGGGTTTCACTTTGAAAGTGGAAGAGGCAAGAAATAAATCATCAGAGTATTTAAAAAAAAGAGGAAAAATATACTTTTTAATGTTAAGTCCCCTAAGAACAGAAAAAACCTTAGGTTCCCACATGTTCAGAAATTCCCACAGCAACTGCATAATACAGCTACCAGCTATAGTTCCAACTGGAAGTTTTAGAAATCTCTGCCTGAGTTGAGCTTCCATATTACACAAAATCTTTCAGGACTGGCACGGACCTCTGCCCAAACCAACCTTCCCTGGGTTGGGCTAATCTTTCAAGACTAGACTCCCAAGCTAGGCTAGGTCTTTCAAGACTGGTGCAAATCTTTTGTGTTGGGCAGGCCTTTGCCTGAGCCAGGCTTCCAAGCTAACTTCAGTTACAGGCTGACTTCAGAAATTGGAGCAGGAGTTTGCCTAAGCCAAGCTCCCAGGCTAGACTTGATACTATCACAGTTGGGACAAGCTTTGTAGTTCCTTAACCCCACTCCCATTAAACTCCAATCCATTAGCAATCACTCAGTCAATGACCACTCCACCACAGCTATCTAGGACAACGGATAACATTGTTAAAAGTGACTCAGGTACGTAAGTCCCATTTTCAGAAGTGACTTGGGCTGATTTTTCAAGGGCACAAATGGCACTTAGGTGCCTAACTCCCACTGAAAGTCAATGGGGGTTAGGTGCTAAATATACCTTTGAAAAATCTGCCCCCAAGTCAAGACTGAAAATGGGACTTAGGCACTTTTGAAAATTTTACCCTAGGTCTCAATATTTTGACTTTGTAGTGAGACACCAAATTAAGTCAACCTGATTTTAATGTCAACAACCTGATCCTTAAAACAAGAAGGGCTAATAATGGAATAATGTAGATTCTTTCTAAAAAAGGTAAGGCAAGTACAGAAACACAAGTAGATGCTTAAGGAAATACAACACAGTGCACATCATATAGCTCAATCATCCATTCAGATTTCAAGGTACCACAGAAACCTGGACCCAGGTTTCACTGTCTCCCAAGAGCTTTAGCTCAGCTTTGAGAGAGGATTCCATTCACGACTACTGCAGCTCCTACAACCCTAGGCCTCTTTCTATACATTTGTCCACCTTGATAGACAACCCTTCCTCTCCACACATCTTACTCAGAGATTTATCTGAGGGTGGGGGGATGGAGGGGTGTCCACCCTCACACACAATCTTGGTGCCAGGTGCTCCCTCCCTCAGAAGTCTTCAGAGGATTATCATGGCCACTCTCACTATTAGTGTCTTTGACAGGGCTAAGAGGTCCTCCTCCTCCAAATCCCAAATGGTCTTTGGACTCCCTCTCATCTCACCTCAAATCAGAGAGGCATGGCCAAGCCAACAAATAAAGTTTAATCTTGGGCTTTCTGTAAAATGGAGGACATGGAGAATAGGGAAAGAAATGAATAGGAAGGCCAGAAACCTCATCTATTTAAGTAACCATTAAAGACATTTTCAAAATACTTTAATAGTGGTACCTCAGTCTATTTAAATTAAAGAAAATATACATTAAAAAGGGAGTCATAAGTGCTGGAGATGATGTGAGGGAATAGTGACCTTTCTGCATATATGGTGGGAATTCCCTAAGTTAACAGTGTTCTAGAGGATAAACAACAAATAAAATTTTCAAAATAACTAAAGTTAGGTTACCCACAGAACCCATAATGATTCTTTTAGGTTACAGTCCAAAGGAGGTTACTGACTCAGGGAAGGACCCACTGATAACACAATTACACTACTAGCAGACAGATATAACATATCTCACTTTTGGAAAAGGACAGGCCCCCCCAACATTAGCATCATGGAGAAAAGTATAGGGAACCCTTTTAATGGAAAAATGACAGACCCCTTTGCATCAGGATAAAGTAGATGTTGCAGTCTTTTGGAATTTGTACAAGAGGTTGACTATACACAAATAGGTCTATGAAAAAGGTAACAAAACCAGGTTATGCATAAGATTTGTTAATATTTGTATGGAAATTTCATGTACATTAAAAATGACAAAATAAAAAGATTAAAAATCAATTAAGCAGAAGGGAGAAACTCTACTAGGATGAAAAGCAGTTAAGTATTACTACCCTATCTTCATTTCTAATACCTTATAACTGTTTTCTGATCTTCCTACACAAAACGCACAGTTAACATTATATTACACAGTTCCTATTATGTTACTAAGTGTCTACATAATGTGCGCATAATTGTCAGCACCATGCTAATCAGTATTTCACCCATAGATTAAAGTACAAGGCCAACTCCTTGAGGACTCTGTTTAACTCCCTGAAGGGCTAATGGGATTTAGTGAATGACCAATATTTAAACAATCACCTGTGCATCAGAATATACTAAAGAGGCAGTTCAGAAGGACAGCACTGAGCTTCTTATCAGCATTTCCAGGCACCAGTCTAAAAATATCCAATGAAATGCCAACAATAAAGTGGCAATTAAGATAAAGTAAATAAGCCATAGGTAAAAGATTAAGAGTAAATGAAGGAAAGAAGGAAACACCATACATAAATAAAGAGGATTGGGAGAGCCAGTGCTAGATTGACTTATCTATATTGCTTCTAAAACATTTTGTTAAGACCTGATCCCATTCACTGCGAAAGCTTCAATACAAACCAAGAACACAATTTGTTCTCCATAGGATCTAATCAAAATTTTTACTAACCTTGCAACTTTTGATTTTCTTTTTCCATTCTGAGGAGCAGTATCTGTTGAAGAATGGCTTTCTGCCACAGTTCTCGAAGCTCCCGAGTTGTCCGTTTCCTGTCTTCTTTCACTGGCCCAAAGGGGCCATCTTCACAAACTGGTTCTAACGGGGACCTGGGTGGAAGATCTCCCAATTCAGAGTAATCTTCAAGAGACAGAAATGAGCATTACCCATTTAGGTTTCATAGTCAAATAAAAGGGCACTTTTTCAAAGGCCTGCTGCCACTTGTGCACATGTAAAAAATGTACTATGTATGCATCTAAACTTTGCAAGCGCAAACACTTGTGTGCACTTTAACCCATGCATAAGCAGTCTCAATAGTCTAAACACCTATCCAAGTGCAAGTGGAACCAATGGATTTTGCAGATGCAAGTGTTAATATTTGTGTGTGCAGGTGCTTAACTATTGGAAGTACTGGTGTAGATATTAGAATTTCTGAAGTGCACACAGAGCTATATTTGCTCTCGCATATGTACAGAATTTTGGACACTCGTGTCAAGAGAATGCCTTTTGTAAATCTCTCTTATGTTACCAGGATAGGGCTACATTATTTAAACAATGCATTTGTATTGGAAACCTAAAACTGGAAATTTCATGCTTAATTGGACATGCACTTGCATTGTGCCCATATCTATACCTTCTATCTATTCAGGCTCTCTTTCCTTAACATCAGATCAATTAAAAAGAAATCCTGGCAGGTACATTTTCACTTTCTTCATGACAAAAATTACTGTCTTAGGTTTGACTGAGATCTGTCATTAAAGCTCTGGCTTCTTTCCACTCCTTGAAGTTACTGTCTCTTGCAGGGGAAGGTGGGGAGAGGCAGAGGGGTGAGAAATCCATGTCTTTAGGCCAGGTTGTTATCAAATGTGAATTTAAAGTCTCCACACTCTTAACCCATCTTTATTCTTTCTTCAGGGGTCTCTCTCTCATCCAGTTTGAACACCATCCATTCTAAACATGTTTAATCCAGGTGCTGATATTGTCCATTTGTATCAATGGGAGTTTTCAGACACTGACTTCAGAGGAAGCAAAACTGGAGAAATATGGGCCTGATTTCCACCTTATGAAATTTCAATTCCAGCATTTTATTACTGACAATATCTTTCTGTTCCCAGTATTTCCTGTCTGTTGGAAATAGCGCTGAATACCATTCTGCAGTGGTTAAGAACTATTTTATCTCATAGTCTGAATATTGTACTTATACCATACAATCCTGTTTCTTCAGTGAGCTCTATGTGAGCAGACCACAGGCAGCCCCAGTGACTGTGTAGGTGCAGGGTTCTAGCTACACACAGCTCATCTTTCTGATCCGTTAGAAATTCTAATCGATACACCACAAATTTTCATGAGATCAGATGCACTAATTAATAGGCCAGACAGTTCAGGATGCTAGCTGTTTGTTTATTATTATTTGACATATTTTACATTTGTGCAAATAAAATATGGGACTCCATCCAGGCAAAATTATAAACAGCCCAGTATCAATTCCATAGACACCACGGATACAAAACACACTTCTCCCTCCCTCCCCTTTTAAAAATAGGCTTGGTAACATAAAAACATAAGAATGGCCCTACTGGATCAGACTGAAAAGTCCATCTAGCCCAGTATCCTGTCTTCCGACAGTGGCCAATGCCAGGTGCCCCAGAGGGAATGAACAAAACAGGTAATCATCAAGTGATCCATCCCCTATCACCCATTCCCAGCTTCTGGCAAACAGAGGCTAGGGACACCATTCCTGTCCATCCTGGCTAATAGCCATTGATGGACCTATCCTCCATGAATTTATCTAGTTCTTTTTTTAATCTTGTTCTAGCCTTGACCTTCACAACATCCTCTGGCAAGGAGTTCCACAGGGTGACTGTACATTGTACATTTTCATCTTTCCTTCTCTTCCTCCCAGCTAATACTCCAGACTGAAATAAATTAATTTACCAAAGAACAGACATAGTACAAGCAGTGATGGGCCAGATTCTCTAATACCTCCCTGCCGGTGTCTCTCAACTCTGACCTAGAGGAATTTAACTTATAGGGTTGAAACTATAGTTCAGGCACATGCAGTCAGTCCTTGACCATTTGGCTGAGACCTCCAAGAAGGGAACTAAGGCAAAATTGGTGATGTGCAGAATTCTCCCTTAGAAACCTGACAATAACATAGGCCTCATAGAAGAATTATGTTTTCATGAGGGACCTGTTGGTGGAGTGAAGACATAGACCAGGTCAAGGAGACGGATTCGAGCATAATCATTAGCTTTATCCTCAAATCTAGTTGTATGCTGCTCAAGTTAGTACTACCTGGAGGTGAAATGGGAAGCCCAAAGGTATACCACTTTCACAGCACCTTTATCTGGATATCTCAGGGCTGTTCTCTAAATTATACTGGCTTGTATCAGCCCTACAGCAGCACTTATGCCAGCAAAGGAGTGTTGTAGCACCTCCCCTACCCAACACACTCCCTACCCCAGAGGGAGTGGAGTTGGCAGAGAAATGGCTTTGCCAGGCAAAATTTCACCAGCTGCCAGTTTAGGGCAGCTTTCAGCTCTTTTGCACCACTGGAGTGACTCATAGGATCTGTAAGAGAGGCCAGAGACTGGCCCATTATTTCTCAAAACTATAAAGACATTAAAACCACATACTTATCCAATGGCCTGCTAACTAAAGCTTTATAAACAGGACACTTCAATTAATTACAGAAGCATATGCTAGCAACTGAAAGCTAGTATGTCTCAGAAATTTTAAAATAATCAAAATTAGTATATAAAAAAATAGCTAAACTAGGCTTGACATAGAAAACACACAAACCTTAACTGTATAAACACAGCACCAATACAGTTCATAATACAGTGGGATTAATACCAGTTCCCAATGTAAATATTCAGTAATGTAGTCACGAACCCCTACAACTAATGCAAACTGAACAACATTCAAGAAGTGTTTGTTCTAGCTTCTAGCTTTTCTGTCACGTCATAACCTTTACCTTTCACCAAATTTTTCACTTATGATTGTGTACTTAAGTACCTTTTGCAGTAAGTCAAGCATGCAGATAGCCCACTTAAAAAATTAATTACAGCAGAACTCTTAAATTAGTCACAGAAAAAAAATTCATGAGAATATAAGAGGAATTATTCTTTATTTTTACCGAAACATTGAACAATATTGTTCCTTACCAAAATAAGTACTTAAGCTTTTTTTATTTTTTATTTTTTTTGGTAACTCCTGCGACAACATCAGTAATTAATTTAGTCTGTTAACTCTATATATACAGATTTAATTTCACCCATCCACTGATGTGTAGCCATTTTATATCGCTACACTGATGGACTCATTAGCCTTAGATGCATACAGTATCTAGAGGGAAAATAACTCATTTCCCCACCCATGTGTCATGTCTCCCATGCATAGTTGTGGTTGAAAATATACATGTCTTTATCCCAAGTTCCAACTATAAGGCCATGGGACTTCTCCCTTCAGCCAAACAGAATGGCTGAAGGGAGAAGTCCCATGGC